TAACCTTCATGGATGCCTTCTCGGGTTATAATCAAATAATGATGAACCCCGAAGACCAAGAAAAAACGTCATTTGTCACGGATAGAGGTATCTATTGTTACAAAGTGATGCCTTTTGGTTTGAAAAATGCAGGAGCAACTTATTAACGGTTGGTTAACAAAATGTTCCACAATCATCTCAGGAAGATAATGGAAGTCTGTCTACATAGATGACATGTTGGTTAAATCGTTAAAGAAGGAGGATCACGTTAAGCATCTAGAGGAATGTTTCGATATTCTCAATAAGTATCAAATGAAGCTGAACCAGGCAAAGTGCACATTCGGAGTCCCATCCAGGGAATTTCTTGGCTATATTGTGACGGAAGAGGGATTGAGGCCAATCTAAATCAAATCAACGCCTTTCTAAACATGCCGTCTCCAAGAAACTTCAAGGAGGTACAACGGTTAACTGGGCGGATTGCGGCTTTGAATCGTTTTATCTCGAGATCAACAGATAAGTCGTTACCTTTTTACCAAATTCTAAAAGGAAACAAAGGATTCCTTTGGGATGAGAAGTGTGAAGAAGCTTTCGGGCAGCTTAAGGCATACTTAACTACTCCACCTATATTATCCAAACCAGAAATGGACAAAAAGCTTTATCTATACGTGTCAATTTCGAACCATGCGGTTAGTGGAGTCTTGGTCCAGGAAGACCGCGGGGAGCAGAAGCCGATTTACTATATAAGTAAGTCAATGACGGATCCGGAAACCAGATATAAAATGATGGAAAAACTCGCACTCGCGCTGGTGACTTCGGCTCGGAAGCCGCGCCCATATTTTCAATCTCATCCGGTCGAAGTATTAACCAACCAGCCACTCCGAACAATACTTCATAGTCCAAATCAGTCTGGACGTTTGGCGAAATGGGCGGTGGAATTTAGCGAGTACTATATAGAATTCAAAAGCCAAATCAGTATGAAGGCTCAAGTTTTAGCAGGTTTCCTGACCGAGCTACCAATACCTGGCACGATAGTACAGCCGTAGAACCAAACTTGGAAATTGCATGTAGACGGGTCTTCATCAAAGCAAGGATGCGGAGTGGGAATCAAGTTGGAGTCTCCAACATCAGAAATTCTAGAACAATCATTCCGATTGTTATTTAATGCTTCCAACAATAAGGCAGAATACGAAGCCCTAATTGTCGGACTTCGATTGGCACAAGGAGTTGGAGCTAAGGAAATAGTCGCTTCTTGTGATTCGCAATTAGTAGTTAACCAGTTTAATGGAGACTACGAGACCAAGGACTCAAGAATGGAAGCATACATCGAAGTGGCGAAGGATCTATCTAAACATTTCTCAAAATTCGAATTAATTCGCATACCTTGGGGAGAGAATACAACCGCGGACGCACTTGCCGCATTAGCTTCAACATCGGATCCTGAGTTGAAAAGAGTTATTCCAGTGGAATGCATTTCGGAACGAAGCATTCAAGACAACAAAAAACTCTCGTCGTTACAAGATCTCGAGCAGCGGCGCGTGACCGTGGAGAACCTGAGATCGAACTGCCACCCATCAAACGAAGGAAATCAAAGGGATCAAATATACCTAATAAGGAACCCGTTGTCCTAGCAGAAGACGAAATTTCAGAAACAATAATAGAAGTCGGGCCATTAATCGAAGAAGATATTCTTGAACCGAACGAGTATCCCGAACCAGAGCCACGAATATTTTACAAAGTCGACCAAATTCCGGCTAAAGACTCGGGGGCTGACTGGAGAGAGCCAATAAAGCGCTACATCATGACAGGCGAGCTCCCAAGAGATAAGGGGCAAGCTAGGAAAATGAAAATCGTTAGCGCGAAATTTTTTCTATCAAAGGATACATTGTATAGACGAGGTGTCAGTGACCCTTACCTACTGTGCATTTTCGGGCCCGAAGTCGAAATCGTCATGAGCGAAGTGCACGAAGGATTATGTGGGAGTCATTCATCAGGAAGGGCTATGGCTTTTAAAGTTAAAAAAATGGGATATTATTGGCCCACTATGATCACAGATTGTGTTAAATTCACCCAAAGATGTAAGCACTGCTAACTTCACGCACCATTGATCCATCAACCATCGGAGTTATTTTCCTCCATCTCCGCCCCATACCCATTTATGAGGTGGTCAATGGACATCATTGGACAGTTGCACAGATCAACTCGAGGTGTACAATACCTTTTGGTCTTGACGGACTACTTTTCGAAGTGGATTGAAGCTGAGGCATATGTTGGCATCAAGGATTCGGCGGTGAAGACTTTCATTTGGAAAAATATTATATGTCGACATGGAGTTCCGTACGAGATAGTCACTGATAATGGGCCGCAATTCATTTCGTACGAGTTTGATGCCTTTTGTGCGGACTGGGGAATCAAAGTCAGTTACTCTACTCCACGATATCCGCAAGGAAACGGTCAAGCTGAAGCCGCGAACAAGACAATACTAAGCAATCTCAAGAAACGCTTAAATCATCTAAAGGGAGGATGGTATGATGAACTCCAACCCGTCCTATAGGCCTATCGTACAACCCCTAGGCGATCTACCGGAGAAACTCCGTTCTCTTTGGTTTATGGCATGGAGGCAGTAGTACCAGCTGAACTCAACGTGCCCGGACTTCGCCGAACAGAAGCACCATTAAATGAGGAAGAAAATTCAGCAATGCTTGATGATTCGCTAGATACCATAAATGAAAGGCGTGATCAAGCTTTGATTCGGATTCAGAATTACCAACAGGCAGCAGCCCGATATTACAACACTAAAGTCAAAAGTAGGCCGTTCTTCGTAGGAGATTATGTGTTAAGGCGCGTCTTTGACAATAAAAAAGAAGAAGGCGCAGGCAAACTCGGCATTAATTGGGAAGGACCTTACATTGTTACCGAAGTGGTTTGGAACGGTGTGCATAGGTTGAAAGACTTAGAAGACAGGCCAGTCAAGCGACCTTGGAATGTGATTAATCTAAAGAAGTTTTATGTTTAAGCTACACGCATTTTTTATATACATGAATTACGGTGTGGCTTGATCCCGAAATGGGTACGTAGGCAGCTCGGAAACGAGTTCAGCTACTAATAAAATTTATTCTTATTATAGAAAATAGTTCGGCTATGCGAACGAACAAGATGAATAAAGTTCGACTAGGCGAACATACAGGAATTGGAAACGAAACATTTATTCAAGCAAATAAGACGAAGTGTCGATCTACACACACATTTCGGATTAGGGAAATCCTCTCGGTGTGCAGAATACTTGAACTCCTTGACCAGCAAGGTCGAGGATTGGCATCATGCAGTCCAAAATACGAGCAAAGTCGGAGATTTCCAAGTTCGATCCATTCTTCGGGGTGAGAGCCAAGGATGTGAAGATCTCTTGATACCGTAGTAAGTCTGTGTTGCATTCGATTTATCCTCTTCCGGAGACTCCTCTTTTCCAACGTAAGCTTCCAATGTTGAATCGCAAGCGCCTCTATGAATGCCATCGCTGTTCGTTGATCTCTGATTGGGAGGTCCCTGATCAAAGCGCACGGAGCTTGGATCTGAGGTCTGAAGCAGCCGTGAGGTGGAAGAGGCTGCCTATTTGGCACATTTGGAACATATTTGTTTATCATTCTGATCCTGGAGAAGTCGGGCATAGATTCTGAACATCGAAGGTTGAACTCCATACCTGCTAAAGTGTAAAAGAGTGGTGAGGAGTAAGGGGAAGTTGAGGCTATAATTTATAGGGACATCATGTCCCTAGTAAGCTGTGGATTCTATCCTAGGAATGAAGTGATTCGCGAAGAGATTTATGCTCTTAAACCGATCCCGCATTGAAAGACGTATCTCCGAGAATATTTTGAAGAATAAGGAAAATTGCAAATGTTTCCATAAATAAAATGGGGCCGAAGCCCATTACGAGTTCGAAATAGGAGCAGAGTTAGGGAACATTTGTGGAAGAAGCTCAGGAACAGGCTCCTTCATCGCCAGTTTAATGTTCGAAGTGGATGCCTTGTTCTTGACATCCACTTCGGGATTATCCTGAACGCGTTTCCGACGGATGCTGGCCTCCTCTTCGTCTTCCTCATTACTGTCAAGTGGGGCGGTATAGACCGGGGCATTCACAGGCCCCGGAACTTGACCTTTAGCACGGAGATACATCCAAAGCATCTTCGGGATCTCAGCGACGGAATCAAAGTTCCTCCACTCCTATTGAAAGGGATCACTTTCCAGAGCTCTTATCTTCTTCTCCACTCGAGCGATGCGAGCCTCGAGTGTTTGCCTTTTAAGACCTAGCCGCTGCCTCTCGTCACACAAGCGACGGTGTTTGTCGACGACCTAGCATAAAGATGAATAAATAAAAGAAAACAGAAAGTTTTAATCAAAGACGACAAATATTAACCTTGTCCATAAAGTCGCAAGCCTCTTTCTTTTCCTTTTGAAGGAAAATGAAATACGGCGTGTGGAAAGAGAACGCCGGCCGGTTCAGAACCATCGCCGGACAGGAAGAGTGGCTACCGGGGTCAACGGGGTCTATGTTTTTTTTTCCATTAATGCGGTGCTTATCGAATGATTTATGAAGTTTCTTGAGGAAGGATCAGAGGCAAACAAGCTCCTATTTATAATAGGATTAGGGTTTGTCTTGAGAACAAAAATTCAATAATGATGGCGTGCCCTAGTGGCTTAAACCATTTTTGGAAATCAAGAAAAGGCAGTTATTGCCTTAAAGACGTGCCGCTTTTCCTATTTTCAAGGAGTGAGAAAGGAAATAGCAACCGTCGCATTAAAAGCAAAAACAAAAAAAAAAAATCATTAACTACAAAAAGTTTTTAAGGCCCAAGCCCAACAAATCTACCGAGTTGACTAAACCCGAAGTGGGGAACTCGCGTTAAGCCGAGCTCAGTTCTCGCATTCTAAAGAAAAAGGCCTGATCAGCCTAAAAATCTCGAAAGCATAGCCACAAGGCCAAAAAGGGTTAAAAGCGGACTTTGCAAACCCGCACATAGTTTTAACCAAACCCTCTTGGGATCATAACCTAAAAAGGTTTAAAAGCCTCCTCAGGCAAATATCTTGTTCGAAATAAAGTGACGATAAAGCTTCCTTAGGCAAAAACAAGTTCAAATTTAAGTTTTAAGATAAATGGGACAATCCCCAGTTTAAAGTGGACACAGCCACTACGGATTAACAGCCACCTCGGACTCCGTCTCGGCTGTCAAAGTTTCACTCGCCTCCTTGGCTGGTGCTTGATCAGATGAAGCTCCTGGTCCACTCTCCACGGTACAACCATCTCCCGGGGTGACCTCCGGTGCAGCAGGAACTTCGGGTGGGATGACAGCTTCCGTCTCACTTGAGCCTAGGAAGGACAGTTCCAGTCAATTAAAAATATAAGGCAAGAAGAAGGTAGTGAGTATCAAGAGCCAGAGGTTACCTGCCTAGTCTAGACCCGATTCACTTATGGGAGGTGATTCTGTGAAGAATTCCTCGAAGTGCTGAGGGTTGAAGGTTGAAGCGGGAAGAGTTTCCAAGCGACTCCGCTTTTCAGATAAATTAGCCGTCAGCTCGGTCCTTTCTTGCACTTCGGAGAAATATTTGTCATGGATTTGATCCAACAAGATCAGGTTGCTCTCGTGCTCCTTGATGTCTGATTCCAGATCTGACCTAGCCTTCTCAGTTTGAATGAAGCGGATGGCCCCTTGAATCAACTCCATCCCACGTCCCTTGACCTCTTTTCTGGCCTTCGATGCCGACCTTGCTAACTCGGAATCACACAACTTGGTGATCGCTTTGTACTTCGCGTTAAGCTCAATAAGTTGGTTGTTCAGGGTGTCGGCGGTTGATTCAGATTCATGAAGTCTACCCTGAATACCAGAAAGTTCATCCTGGAGTTGGTAATTCCGGTCGTACTGATCCTGCAGCTCCCCCTTTATCTTCGCAAGCTCGGATGATAGACTGTCAAGCTCGGATGATAGAGTGTCAACCTTGTCCTCCAGATCGTGCTTGGATTCGGTAGAAGAACGAAGATCAGCCTCGAGATTAGAGAACTTGCCCATCCACGTGTCAATCTCCTTTTCCCGACCAATGATCAACCCCTCGTAATGTTCAATCATGTCATTAAGCTCGCCGTTAGCCTGGCATTATACATAAACTCGGGATGGCGAGTCAATTTCGAAGAATGACAGCGAAATCAGAAAAATAAAGCAGAACTAACCCGAGATGAATGATGAGCGTGAAGCAAGTAGCGTTCGCGAATTGCAGGGCGCCACTTGTCAAAATCCGGTAGGATCGTGCCTGATCGGGTTTTGAAGCACCGAAAGACGTTACCCTCTTTCTCCATGGCTACGAAAGTAGAAGAGGAAAAGTCTTAGAAATTCATAATAAACACAAGGCGAAAAGAAACATATACATACATATCACCAAACCTGAAAGCGATTTGACCTGAGGGACAAGAACAGGCTTTGACTTCGAAGAGTCATCTCGAGACTCAGAACTTTCCTTCTGAGGAGCCGCGCTCTGGTTCTTCTTCTCGCCACTACATTGGGAAGAAGAAGAAGACATGTCAATAGGAGCAGGAGGACCCATTGGTTCAGTAGGAGGGGACGACCGAGGAGAACGGTCAGTCCGGGCCCTCCACTTCTCCCTTCGCGGAGAAGAATCACTGCGAGATGACTTGTCTCTCTTCCTACGAACCAAGTTCCTAAGCGGTTCGTTGCTAAAATCATCTCGGGGAGGACGAGGAGAATTACGAAGAGGAGATCGGGCCCTCCGAGGAGAATGATCATCACGACTTTCGCGCCGAGGTGTCAATCTGAAAACGGTGACGGATCTGGCTCCTTCGACGCTGCCATCGTCAACCAGCAGGGTCCTACTGTAGTCCTTCTTATCGATAGTAGCCGCAAGAAACTCTTTTTTCTCCTCGCAAGCCTCAGCTATCGGTTTGGAGAGCGCCTTGCGCTTGGCCGCAAGGGCCCGAGATGACAGTCCCTGAGTTGGGGGAGGAGGCGGAAGATGGTGAAGTTGACCTGGGGGACTCATCCTGAGTTTGTGGTTGGCTTCTAGAAATCGCTCGAGAGTGAAAGAATTCCAAAGGGTTTCCCCTTCGAGGACTATTTTGAAGAACCCGATGAATTCTTCAGATGGGATAGTCGGGGCAATGAAAGCTACGAAGTAAAATAACAAGTTAATTAGTAAAAATAAATAAAACAACCGGAAAAGGTAAAGGCGACCTAATTTCTACCAGGCTTCGCAGACCACTTCGATGGGAGTACATCGGAAAGATTTCCGATCGAAGCAGGGGTTTTCTTAATTAAGAACCATGGATGGTGCCAGTTTTCATCCTTGTTCGGGAGATGCGGGATGATGTTCCTGCTAGCGTTGGGGTACGCAGAGAAATACCCCGCCTTCTTCAACCAACTCCTTACGCTAAGAAGTTCGTTCAATTCGGGGACTCCAATAACGTACCCGGCTTCCGCCGCCACAGTTATAATCCCAAGGATGGTGCGAAGGAGATTGGGGGTTAGTTGAGGCAAAGCAATCTCAAGGGCTGCGAAGTACCGGACTAAGGCTTCAAGAAGAGGAAATGTTAGCCCGCAACCCTTGAAATAGACCTCGTAAACACAGAAATAGCCATCGCGATGGTTTTCCGGAGATTCATTAGGACCGGGCAGCATCGATTCCGCCATGATTCCAGGTAAAATCTGACAGAGATCTCTCAATTGATTAAGAGATTGAAGAGTACATGTAGACATATAGTGGGGACCGGCGATATCACCCAGGCGAGCACATTCGTCATTGTTGGAGCCTCTTTCAAAGGACGAAGATTCAGGTCTTTCAGAATCAGAAGTCATTGGAGAAGATGAAAAATTTAAGATCCGACAAGGAGAAATTTGACGAAAGAGACTCGGCGAAGGAAAGAAGAGAGAAGCTTCAATTGAAGTGTAAGAGTAAAAGTATAAATAATGATGAAAGAAGTTACCTCACGCAAGCTAGGTGATAATGATAGAACCGCCTTGGGAATCGTGGGGGAAGTGGGAAGGTTTTTCTCACTTTAATAGTAAATAATTAAGATAAGGCCATGATGGCGACAGATGTCACGCAACCAAATATGGGTAGCGCCGAAATTAAAGGATTGACAGGATCTTGGCGGGAAAATCAGAAGATTCCTCAAAACGCAATCTTTGGTCATTGAAGCATTAAAGTCCTCCGAATTGGAATAGCACTTCGAAAGACTTGGGGGGCTAATTGTTGGTGTCGGATCCCGCACCAGTAGTCCGGGACCAACCAAAGATTGCCACGTAGTCAATACAAAGGCCCACAAGAGATAAGGCCCATTAGGTCTGTAAGTTAAGGGTGCGGTCGAGGTGGTGACACCACAAAGAAAGTTCGAAGTGATTGCACCTCGATACGAGTCCAGAGTCGAAGTCATAGTTAAGTCGGTTCAAGGTTATTTGGGCTGAGAGGCGAGGCCCATGAAGGTCAGAATCAATTCAAATTCAAACGTTGAGCATTAAATTCGGAGACCAAAACGGACACATTTAAGAGACAATAATTGTACTTAATTAGCCACTTAAATATCGTTTTTCTATGTATAAATATGAGGGCCAATGGCCATGTAAAGGGGATTTTTTTTCTGGAGACGAAATACTATAGCAATTCTTGTATCAATTCATAAGCTTTTTACATATTCACTTTGTCCCTCAAGAATAATCTTTCCTACTTAATAAAAATACTTAAGTGTGTGAATCCGACATCCACAGTCATGTCCCCCCTTTGATTAACCCTTTAAACCCAACTAGAAAACTACTCTAGCATGGTTAAAGAGATCATCAAAGTAAGGTTTGATAAACTCATAAGAAATAGATGAATAAGAACTTAATAGGGTTTAGAGATTACTTCTTTGAATGTAGAATACAAGTGGTAAGACTTCACCTTGATAGATCTTAAAGTAAACAAGAGAAAAGAGAGAGATTTGGTTGACTACTAAGCTTCTAGGTCGACGTCTGCAGCTCACGGCGAGGGCAGGGACGAGCTTCTACGACTTCACGAAGACACCCTAGGTTTAGGGTTTTCATAGGGTATTTATAGGTCTTGGAGACCAAGGAGTCGGTTTAGGGGTAAAACATCTTTTCTCGTGTGATACATGTCTTGTGTGGCCTAGATGTTCTCATTGTGGAAGTCGGATTCACACACTCAAGTATTTTTATTAAATAGGAAAGATTACTCTTGAGAGACAAAAAATAAATGTGTAAAAAAAAACTTATGGATTGCTACAAAAATTGCTATATTATTTCTCCTTCGAGAGAGAGACCCCCCTTACATGGCCATTTGCCCTTTTATTTATACATAGAAAAATGTCAATTAAATGGCTAATTAAGTACAATTATTCTCTTTTAAATGCGTCCGTTTTGATCTTTGACTTTAATGCTGAACGCTCGAATTTGAGTTGATTCCGATCTTCATGGGCTTCGCCAATCGTGTAACGCCCGCGATCCTCAATAGGATCGTCGGATGAGACTTGGTCCGAGAAAAGGAGGAGAAACTCGGACAAGTCTAGATTGGAGCTGCCCATCAGCTCGGATAAAGAGAATAATGAACGTTAAGTAGCCAAACCAGCTCCCGTATAGCTCAACTAAGCTCGAAGTACTTCCGGGTAGCTTAGCTAAGCTCGGGTAACTGTCGGGTAGCTCAGCTAGCTCGACCAGCTGCCGGGTAGCTCAGCTAAGCTTGGGTAACTGTCCGACGGTTGGACGGTTGGGCGGTTACGGATGACGGTTACCAACGGGCGGTTATGGACCGAATGGGCGCCTTCTAGAGAACGGTTAGAGAAACGGTTTCTGAACGAAACTCTATAAATACAAGGCGTTTGGGACGATTTCAGACACGGAAAAACTTAGGGAAAAATACAGAAACTCTCGGAGAACATTTTGAGAGAAAACACTTAAGAGAGAGTTACGATCGGTGCGATCGAAGGTGAGACGGTTCTAGACTTTGTGTCCGAACCTAAGGAGATTTGATACGTACGATCTAGCCTAGGGATTGTTCCGATGACTTAGAAGAAGTCCGGAACGATTAGGGTGATATTGTAGTATCGGGGAATCATTCATATCATGCATAAACTTGGTTCGAATGGCGGATCGGTTGAAATGGGGATGCGGCTCGGCGGAGGATCGGCGGATCTGTGAAGATCTACCGTGAATCGGCCGAACTGATGCGCATACTTCCACTCTCCGATCTGTTCTTCGTTCCGGGTGGTTAAAGGGCCTAGAGAGCATTGCATGGACTTGCATATAATAAGTAAAACGGATACTTATGCCTCTTTGACTTTCAGGAAAGGATGGTGATCGTGGGAAGGACTTGGCTTAGGCGTGAGAGACTCAAGGCCGGGAAGATGGGTGGTGATGAATCGGGTAGAATAGGATCGATTATATGACTTGTAATAGCTTATATGCAAACTCATAAGTTGTATCGAATCCTTTTAAGTATCTAATAAAGTATCCGATTCTTTGTTTACTCTATTATCGCATATTGACTCTAAGTAATGAATCTCAGAATATCGTAAATCGGACTGTCTTAAGGAAATGGCCCTAAAATTTGACTAAGGATCGGATCACTTAATGATTTGGTCGGAGAGAACCTCTCCGGACTTAGGCAGTCCGGATCGGGGTCTTTCAAGTTGGTATCAGAGCATGCTTGGTTCTAGGACCATTAGTGCGGGTTTTGGGAATCACCACTCATCGGCTTATGAGTCCTCTCGGTAGTTGTTTCTTACTCTCTTGCGAATTACTATGACTTACCGTAACTAACTTTGAAGTTATTCGCAGATGGGTAAAGATCAACTTGAGTCGGATTCGGGGACGAATCCAATTCAAGGGGGGGAGACTTGTAACGCCCGCGATCCTCAATAGGATCGTCGGATGAGACTTGGTCCGAGAAAAGGAGGAGAAACTCGGACAAGTCTAGATTGGAGCTGCCCATCAGCTCGGATAAAGAGAATAATGAACGTTAAGTAGCCAAACCAGCTCCCGTATAGCTCAACTAAGCTCCAAGTACTTCCGGGTAGCTTAGCTAAGCTCGGGTAACTGTCGGGTAGCTCAGCTAGCTCGACCAGCTGCCGGGTAGCTCAGCTAAGCTTGGGTAACTGTCCGACGGTTGGACGGTTGGGCGGTTACGGATGACGGTTACCAACGGGCGGTTATGGACCGAATGGGCGCCTTCTAGAGAACGGTTAGAGAAACGGTTTCTGAACGAAACTCTATAAATACAAGGCGTTTGGGACGATTTCAGACACGGAAAAACTTAGGGAAAAATACAGAAACTCTCGGAGAACATTTTCAGAGAAAACACTTAAGAGAGAGTTACGATCGGTGCGATCGAAGGTGAGACGGTTCTAGACTTTGTGTCCGAACCTAAGGAGATTTGATACGTACGATCTAGCCTAGGGATTGTTCCGATGACTTAGAAGAAGTCCGGAATGATTAGGGTGATATTGTAGTATCGGGGAATCATTCATATCATGCATAAACTTGGTTCGAATGGCGGATCGGTTGAAATGGGGATGCGGCTCGGCGGAGGATCGGCGGATCTGTGAAGATCTACCGTGAATCGGCCGAACTGATGCGCATACTTCCACTCTCCGATCTGTTCTTCGTTCCGGGTGGTTAAAGGGCCTAGAGAGCATTGCATGGACTTGCATATAATAAGTAAAACGGATACTTATGCCTCTTTGACTTTCAGGAAAGGATGGTGATCGTGGGAAGGACTTGGCTTAGGCGTGAGAGACTCAAGGCCGGGAAGATGGGTGGTGATGAATCGGGTAGAATAGGATCGATTATATGACTTGTAATAGCTTATATGCAAACTCATAAGTTGTATCGAATCCTTTTAAGTATCTAATAAAGTATCCGATTCTTTGTTTACTCTATTATCGCATATTGACTCTAAGTAATGAATCTCAGAATATCGTAAATCGGATTGTCTTAAGGAAATGGCCCTAAAATTTGACTAAGGATCGGATCACTTAATGATTTGGTCGGAGAGAACCTCTCCGGACTTAGGCAGTCCGGATCGGGGTCTTTCAAATCGGCCCAAATATTCTTAAACCGACTTAACTGTGACTTCGACTCCGGACTTATGTTGAGGTGCAGTCACTTCGGACTCACTTCGTGGTGATAACCACTTCGACTGTCACTCCGACTCACGGATCTAATGGGCTTTATCCTTCGTGGGCCGTTACCTTGATTACGCGGCAATCTTTGGTTGGTCCCGAACTACTGGTGCGGGATCCGACACCAACAATTAGTCCCCCAAGTCTTTCGAAGTGCTATTCCAATTCGGAGGACTTTAATGCTTTAATGACCAAAGATTGCGTTTTGAGGAATCTTCTGATTTCCCGCCAAGATCCCGTCTGTCCTTTGATTTCGGCGTTACCCATATTTGGCCGCGTGACATCTGGCGCCATTATGACCGTATATTAATTTTTACTATTAAAGCGAAAAAACTTCTCCACTTCCCCCACGATTCCCGAGGCGATTTCATCATTATCACCTAGCTTGCGTGAGGTAACTTCTTTCATCATCATTTTTACTTTTACTTTTAAATTTGCGCTTTACTTGAAACTTCTCTCTTCTTTTCCTTCGCCAAATTTCTCCTCGTCGTATCTTGAACCTTTCATTTTCCCCAATGACTTCTGATTCTGAAAGACCCGAATCTCCGTCATTCGACGATAGGCGCTCTAGTAATGACGAGTGCACTCGCCCTGATGATATTGCTGGTCCGCACTATAGATCCACTTGTACTCTTCAATCCCTCGAGCGGTTGAGAGAGCTTTGCCGGATTCCGCCGGAAATTATGGCGGAAGCACAAATAGCTGACCCCACAGAATCCCCAGAGAACCATCGCGATGGTTACTTCAGTGTGTACGAGATTTATTTCAAGGGTTGCGGACTAACCTTCCCACTTCTGGAAGCCCTAGTTCAGTACTTGGCGGTTCTCGAGATCGCTCTTCCTCAATTAACCCCCAATCTCCTCCGAACCATACTCAGAATTATAACAGTAGTGGCGGAAGCCGGATACATTATAGGTGTCCCCGAGCTGAATGAGCTTCTAAGCGTGAGAAATTCATCGAAGAAGACAGGGTATTTCTCAGC